TCCCAAAATTTTCCCCGAAACATCCCCCCCTCAAGATCAGCGGACTTTGCCTGTTCTCCCTTGTCCTTCCAAGTTAAACAGTTCCAGAGTGGTGGGGAGGGGCACGTATCCCAAGTCAAATGTGGAAAAATAACCCTCAAAACACCAGCCAAATCCCCCTTGCTAGCTTTTTTCCTCCATGGAGGGAAGCACGGCGGTGCTGAGCTGGGATGGGACGAGGAAGGCTGCTCTTGTCGGGCTGAGGAGGACAATAATGTCCCACTGGACATCAGAGGATTGGCGCTCTCCCCTCCTGAGCCGCTGTAAGACTCGATCATTCACATGACACGGCCGTTGCGCAACCAGCACTGGAAGCATGTGTCTAACTACCAGTTTTATGCAGAGGTTTCCATGGTGATATAAATATTACTCTTTAATAGTGTAACGAGGTAAATTAAATCCAGTTTAATTTCATATAAATGAATTTCCTGGGGCAGCAGACTTTGGCAATTCTGTTTTTTGGTTGGTTTGGGGTTTTTTTGAAGCGAGTGCATTCAGAGGCACGCACCAGCCGGTGCCCCCAGCCCGGGTCGGTCCCGCAGGCAGGCACGGTCCTGGTGCCTCCGCGGTGTCTCGGGCTGGCACTGCATGCTGCCATTGAGAAAAACATTCCTGTAACATGCAGGAGCCACTTGCTTTTCAAAGCAATGTGTGTCTAGTAAAAAAAAAAGACGTATTTAAATACTGAAGGCTGAATGCAAAGATGCTTTGGCACAGGTTCAGCAAACCCATTTAGGCCACTATTACCTCTTTAGGCGTCTGCCTTCCCACTGAAGTCACGGGGAAGTCAGGAGCCCGAGTCCTTTGGTGAACCTGAGACTTGTGTTGATTCCTGCCCTCTTAGCAAATTAGGCTGGAGGGAAGAAGGGTGCTGACTTCAGTGGGTTTGTGTTTCTAAAATGTAATCCTCTGCTAGTTTAACTCATTGCAGTCTGTCATCTTTTTTTTTTTTTTTAAAGGAGAATTTTTTTTTTTTTTTAAAAAAAAAAACAGACTTTCAGAGGTTCTCAAGTGTAGCTGGTGTGCACTCCTCTGGTGATTAGAATAACCTCACATTACTGAGGCGTGGGGGACCAGCCACACACGGCCGGGCAGATCAGAGAAGGGAGCAGGGAGTGTGACGGTTGTTACCGTAGCCTCCTGCCACCCAAAAGTCCCCCCCTGCAGGGAAGGTGCTGTGGTTGTAGGGCAGCTGCCTGCAGGGTCAGCCAGGCATTTACCTGCTGGTACTGGGGGCTGAGGAGGAGGGGAATAAGACAGCAAAACGGAGCCCTTCCTTTGCTCTTGTTGTCTCATCCTGGGGAAAAACAAAGCTGCCTTCTCCAAAAGGCCTAGCCTGCTTCTGCAAATTGATGCTATCGATAAATTTGCCATCGCTTTGGTGCCCAGCTCCAGGCCTGCCCTTGCATCGTTATTCACTTTACAGCAATTGTTAATTTTATAAAGCACTGATGGATTTAGCTATTAACACTTGACTTAGAGGCTTAAAACTCTCTTCAGATGTCAGCTGTGCAGACGCATGACTTATGAAATAAGCTACTGTACTTGCATAAACATTTCGACTCCCCCGGTCCCTGAGGCACATTGATAATACAGATTATGCATCTGACTAATACCTGTGTGGCACATACGCAAACTGGCAAGGAAATACCGAACGCGAGGCCGAGGGAAACACCTCTCTCTGCTTTCTGGCAGCCAAATTTGATCCTATTTTATGCCAGTAATTTTTAAGCAGCTTATGCTGCTGTGAACTGAGCGGTGCAGGCTGGTCCCTGTGCCAGCACGGGTGCAGGAGCCGCATGGGCTCCCTGCGCGGGGCAGCCCTGATCCCACACTCGCTGCAGCAATTACCCCCTTCATTTTCTCGTGCCTTTTTAAGGAAGAATCACCTACAGAAGGAGGGAATGAGGATAGGGAGAAAATGCATGTTAAGTAAGTTTGACAAACCGCTGATGTTTTTTCTTTTCTGAAACAACCCCTAAAGAGGCGGTAAGCTTTGCTGTTATACGGCAACTCTCGCAGCATGGTGCCGAGGGTCGCGAGTGTTTCCCTTAGGGAGGATGGGTGCTGCAGAGGGATGCTCTCATCCCCCAGGAGCCGTCTGTCAATGTTTAGTTTGTGCAGCACCAGGGAAAGACGTCTGGGACTGGTACTACAACCCGGGACAAAGGCCGGGGAGGTCTGCAGGTGTGTTTGGGTGAGGGTGAAGCAGGGAGCAGCACAACGCCTGACCCGCGGCCGTGCCGCACCGTGCCACTCGCTGCCATCTGTGCCCGCAGAGCTGGCAAACCCCGGAGGGATTACAGGAGGGGTTTTGCTCAGGCCTTCATTTTCGTTTGGCCGGGCTGTGCTCTGTTGGGTTTCAAGCCGCTGTTAGACACCGGGGTGTTTCCTGCGGAGCTCCCGCAGCCCCTGCGCCTGCTGCACCCATCGCCGGTGCCGAGGTGCCTGTGAGCTCCAGGCTGGAGTTCAGCCTCCCAGAGGCATTTCCAAATATAAACCATTTTAAATGCACTGGAACCCTCAAAAGAACAGCGTCTCTCATGAACTGAAGTTTCCCTCGCATGCCACTGTGCGATGCTGATGTGGATGGGGGACGGCGAGCGGAGGGGAGGGGGCTGCTTGCTGCAGATGGCCGAGAGGAGTCAATTTGATTTTTAATGGTTGTTATTTTTTAAATCCTGTTAACTTCCCTGTGCTGTGCTGGGTTTTTTTTTTTTGTTGCTGGGGTTTTTTTTATTATTATTATTATTATTTTGGGTTGGGTTTTTTTTTTGTTTGTTTTTTTTTTTTTTTTTCGAAGGAGAGCATTTCCCTCGGTGTTTGCAGAGCTGGAAAGCAGTTAATCCTTGCCCTTGGTTTCTGTGCCATTGCTGCCTGCGCTGGCATGGAGGGTTCCCTGCGCCGCAGTCACATGCCTGCTGGCCGCCGGCCAGGGCAATCTGATCGCTCTCTGAGGAAACACTATCAGTTGCAGATGCAGCCAGGGTTACCAGAATAGTAAATAACGAATCACAAGACTCGGTCTATCTTTTCAACGAAAACAAATATTTTAATATGTTGGTTTTAGTATAGAAGTAGTTTCTTTTTTCAAAACAGCCGAGCTGCAAGAGGTTTGGCTGGGGTTAGTTTGCATATGAAGGAGAAATAAGCTGTATTTTACGTTACGTTGTTCGGTTTATCTTCAGCTTCTAAGGTCAGCTGTGTCTGGGGGGTGAAAATTTCGATACTTGTTTTGAACTTTGAAACTCATCCAGCTTTGAAGTCGCTGGACTTGGGGTTCCTCCCTTTCTTTGGGCCTCTTTAACATCCACTCCAGTTAATGGGCTGTGAACAGAAAGCTTTCCCTTAATAATCCCACCTCTAGTCTCAACTCACTACTGCCCAGATGTGAGTTCCCGGTGCCCCAAGCGCACTGCACTGCCGGAGACCCTCCGGTTCCCCCCCACGGTGCGGCGGTGCCGGTGTCCCTCGGCTGCATGCCCCGCTCGCGTCTAACCTGGCAGGACTGTTGTGCCCCGGTCAGCCTGTGCTTTCCTCCCGAGAGAGGACCAGCAGCAGAGGGTTAAGGTAGAGCAGCTCCGAGGCTGCTCTAAACGGAGCCAGCGAAGAGCGAGCCCTCTGGGTGCCCGTGGGTCTGGTAACGTGACTTTCCCCCTTTCCAGCCCATTGACCGTTTGCTGCCTTTCCCATTGTGCCTGTGGCAGTGGAGTGGATGAAAATCTAAACTTTGAGGAAGACGGGGTTGATTTTCATTATTGTTAACACACAGGATGGATTTTGTATTTAATGAAAACTGGTACAGAAAATAGGGCAGAAAATGCCCCCGCCCCCCTGAGCCCCTTTCTTCCTGAGCAGTCCCGGTGATTTCGGCACGGTGCACGGTCGCCTTTGCCGCCCTGTGGGGAGCTGCTCTGGTCTGGTCACGTTACAGCTGCTTTCTTCTCTGCCAAATAACCGGGGAATGATTCCTTCCTCCCCCGAGTGCCCCTCGTACCGGTGCCGTTGTGTGCTGCTCTGCTGCTCTCACTTCCGAGGGAGTTTCACTTTAAACACTAAACCACGCAAGGTCTGGCAGCCGCTGCTCGAGTGTGTTTGCCTGCCTGACGTGCGCAGCCATGGCTTTACTTCTGGAAGTGTCTATAAATTTTTAGACCAACATATCCAGAGAAGATCTTTGTAAATCAGGGCTGGTACTAGGGATAATGGGATAATGTAAATCTTTGTCTTGTAAACCAAAAATATCTCTTCTAGAAAAAGTTGTGCATGAGAAACCTGAATGGATCAGTCATTTGCTTTGTTGTTCTGAGGTTTTTTCAGGCTACATTTTTACTGTGATAAAAATACGTGTCCCCACAGTGTCATAATGTAGGCATTGTACTTAATATAAAACTATAATTTGGTTTGTATTTTTTGAGAAGTTTAACAGTAATCTGAGGGGGTTTGATCTGGTGTTTTACTGCAGAGCCAAAGTTTTCATCGTACGTTTACTGTCCTCTGTAAAGTCAAAACCGATGAGGGTAGGTGCCTAGTCCTTGAAACCGTGGGGTAATTTTGACTCCCGTACACTGTATTTAAAGCTAAAGAAGTAACTTAGTCCCCTGCTCTACAAATCCACGCTTTGGTGGGTTTGGCCTGGAGATGCAGCAGTTTTTTAAAGCAAGGAGGAAGTTAAGGTATTTTTATTTATAAGTCAGATACACATAAACTTGCTCTAGTCATAAATCAAGCAGAACTATGGAGGATTTACATGCTTTGAATGAAATGGAGAGAAAGCAGAGCGGTAACAACAAAAGATTGTGAATTTCTTCTCTGTTCGGAACAGGGCAGCTCTTGACTTTTGACAGTGAATGTTGCTGTGCCTGGGATCAGTTCAGGTACATGCACAGAGAACCTGAACTCTCCGAGGTGGAAGGGTGAATTCACACTATTTAGCGAACAATATGGTTTGGATAATAGTTGATGAGAGAAATTTTGTTTCTGATAGCAATGACAGCTGGAACTAAATGTTACAGTAAACTCTCTGAATAGGGATCTCTCTCTGCCTTTGGTTATTTTGTTTAGTCTTCTGGATTAATTTTTTTTTTCTAGAACAACTATTTGCAATCTCTACACGATGCCACGGATTGGGGAGCCTGTCTGGCTTACTATGATGTCGGGGACACCAGAAAAGAACCAGCTTTGCCATCGCTTCATGAAGGAATTCACTTTCTTGATGGAGAATGCTTCTAAAAACCAGTATGGTGGATTTTAGTTTTTAAATTACGTGCGTGTTCATGCCTTTGTATTTCAAACCAATTTTTGAATCTGTTTTTAAAATCCAGGTAATCAAATAATCAAAAGACCATACATAAATACCTTCTTTTAAAAAGAAATAAAGTATCTTATTAAATGCCTGCTTCCCCACAATCCTCTAAATCCTGGTAGAGGCTAAACATTTGAAACATGTCCATAGGAAGCGCGTGATGGGTGTGTATGTCTGGAAGGGGGTGAACATACCTCATGAAATGCATTAATCTACCTTTCAAAATCAGTTATCATATGATGAGCAAGGTTAGACATTCAGTAAGAGCCATGTCTGTAATACTGTCTGACCGCAAATTGCTCTTAAACTTGACTTCTGTAAAATGCCACTAAAGAAATTGTGTGCTTCATTAGTACTCACCTTTCTGCCCTAAGGACAAAGCCGTGAGCGCTTGTTAAAAATTGAGAAAGAGAATGTTCTTGATAAACTCGGGAGAATCTGATAAATTTTCTCTTTTGTCAACACTTCATCCTCTTTCCCCAGGGCACAAATAGGGGAAGTTTTTAAAACATTGGCTCCGTTGAAGTCCAAAAACGAGCACAAACATGTGAAGTTTGAGTGGGACTGGCAGTGAAAGACCAGCTGTTAGCTCCGGGGAAATTGCTCTCTGCAGGGTGGGGAAGGGGCTGCTGCTCACCATCTCCCAGCTTTGCCACTAACTTTGTCATCTTTTCTCTCCCTGAGATGGGAGGGTGACAATTAGTGGTCGGCGTGGTCCACCTTAGTGCAATGGGAGAAACCGTAGGGAATTGTGAGGGGTTCAGTTGTATTTTCTTAAAATCAGTTCCCATTGCAGTGGAAGCTTTCCTGGGATTAGCCCCTTTGGTCACTGCCATTCTGAGCCCTGTACATCATGGTTACATTTAAATGGTCATTAAATTGGGTTTGTTCTGCTTGTTTTATTTTAAATATAGTAAGATTTACACTGATGGAAGCAAGAGGAAAATCAAGCCCCAGATCCTTTTCAATCCAGTTTTAAATCTCCTTTCCTCCTTTAGCTGTCTCCAGTGAGGAAATGGGGCTAAATTTAAACTGTAGGGGTTCCTGATGCTTGTAAACTATTCAAATAGCATTATTTTGAGGCTTGGTGGCGTTTGACTCCTTTCTTCCCCGGGCACCTGAGCTGCTGCGGCGGCCGCCAGCACCATCTGTCGGTGTGCGAGCGGCTCTTGGGCTGCGCTTCTGCACGCTCCTCCTCCCAGGAAGGGGGACTGGGAAGGAAAGCCTTCCCTCCACGGAGCAGAAACCATGCTCTATCGTTACAATAAATCAGATAGTTAACATTGTTCAGAAAGGCTTTTTGCCTTATTTGCTTAGCTAGTGAAAACTGTTTTGCCAGTGTAACGACACAGCCTTTCTGGCTGAGCTACAGAACTCGGGAGGGGGGTGTGTATTTTTGAAAAGGAGCAGCCATATGCCCTTAAATTGCATCACAGTTATATGAAAGAACACAGCATCTAGCTATTTTACAGGTTTGGTAGCAAGAGCCTTCCTTCTCATCAATAGTCACAGATCTTAAGGGTTTGAGGTCTCCTTCTTGGAGTACAGAGGCCACACAGTGCCACTGTTTTCTTACAGCGCACAAAGAAAGTTGGTTTTGAGATGTTTTACAACATAAGGCTTGCAAAATAGGAAGTCTCATAATTATTGCCAAACAGAGGAACTGAGATGCCACAAGTTTAAAATATTTCATTTTACTTTAAATGTGTGTTCTAAAAAAGAGCATTGCAGGGGTGAGAGGGAGGGTAGAGCCCTCTGTTCTCTCCCCAAAGAACCAACAGCGAAGGGATGATCTCTGCTGACTTTGTGCTTGTTTCTGCAATCCTTGGGCTGTAGAACTGCTATCAGTTTTAACATCCTGAGTGTGTACCTGGAAAAAAATGATGTTGAATATTTTGTTTTCAGGTTTTTACCAGCTTTACTGACTGCAGTCCTGACTAACCACTTGGCCTGGGTCCCTACCGTCATGCCGAATGGCCAGCCGCCTATAAGGATCTTCCTGGAAAAGCATTCCTCCCAGAGCGTGGACATGCTGGCCAAAACCCATCCATACAACCCACTGTGGGCACAGCTCGGTATGTGGCAAACACCTCTAAACCATCCAACAGCTTTACATCAATGGGTATGCGCGTGGTGGTTTTTATGGATGCTTGTTACTTCCCACCCAAATTATTATTATTTTTTATTCAAAACAAGACAAAAATGTGTATTTCAAGCTTAGAGGTGGTCACTGTATTTTTTTTTATATATGCTGTAATTTCTTACGGCATTATAAAACGGCAGTCAAAAAGTAAAGCCCTTTTCAGTCATCTGTGGCAGGTCTCTTAAGGTCACCTGCCCTGGTGGTGATGGAGGATTCCAGTCCTCCTCTGGTCCTCCCTTTATATAGAAAATCCACTTTTATTTTTTGGGATGCTGCTATCAATAAGCCTGGCTCTGGAAAGAGCAAATCAAGGAAATCCATCTTTTGATAAGAAATGAACATACTGTCAATACAACAGGCAAAGGAGTGACACAGTACAGGACTTCATGACTAGGCAAGCCCCTGGGTAAGGTCTCAAAGCCTCGTCGGATGAGTAGCTGGCCGTACTGTCTTCCAATTGCGGAGTAGAGAAGAGGAGGTGAGGTTCCTGCTCTCTGGTCAGATTGTCCTGCTCTGCACACAAGCTGTCATGGAATTTGGTTAGGGAGGGGAAAAGAAAGTTCTGCGAGGTTGCCCTATTCTGGTACAGGCAGGAATGGCCAGGGTCTTGGCAAGAAGACTTGATTTCAGAGCTCGTGGGACTCAAGGGATCCACTGGGGTTAGGTTGACCTTTGAGGCCTCTTGGATCCCTTGTCCCCCATCCCTGCATTCATGCAGTGCCCTGGTACCTCCAGAACAACACATGCACACACGCTTCCTCAGCTGAATCTGGAATACAGTCAAAACAACCCATTCAACCCATAACAGAGCTCAAGGGAGGGAAGAGAAGAAGGTTGGCCTCAGCTATGCACCCGCCACTGTCCCTTTTTGCCCTCGTTGTTGGCATAGGTTTGTTTCTCCTTACAGCTTTCTCTTGGTGGGTAAAAGTTCAGCCCACTTTCCAGACTATCCAGGGTAGTTCAGAGTAGATGCCTCCTCTCTCCCGTGGCTATATAAGGAACCCAGGAGACGAGCCTCCAAAGCTAGGCACTGAAGTTAGGTGGTGCAAATACTCCCTAATATGCGATATCAGATGTCTCCCTGACCAGCGTGTCACCTTACATACGATACCAACAGCATCTTTGGGATTCTCTGTATTGAAACTAAAATACTAGCATAGCTGTCCTCTTCTGCTTTGGTATTTTTCTGTTGCAGACCTGACCTTTGAAAAGTGGTCACAACAATTGTCTGTTAGAAGAATAATTTATTTTAAAGATGCAAAATAATTGTCTTTTATTTCCTATTCTAGGTGACCTGTATGGGGCTATTGGATCACCTGTGAGATTAGCGAAAACAGTTGTGGTTGGCAAAAGGCATGACCTGGTACAGAGATTGCTTTATTTCCTTACTTACTTCATCAGATGCTCTGAACTTCAAGAGACACATCTTCTAGAAAATGGGGAAGATGAAGCCATTGTCATGCCTGGAACTGTTATAACTACCACACTGGAGAAAGGAGAAGTAGAAGAATCCGAGTATGTGCTTGTCACGATGCACAAGAACAGGGGCAACTTGCTACCAATGGAGTCTGAAGAAATGAGAACTTCTAACTGTAGCTGTAGATATTGCAAATGCCCTATTTCACTTGCACAAAACATAGAAGGTGTTTCACAGCAAGAGAGAGAAGACGCTCAAAACACTCCGAAGGTAGAGCTGGAATCTTCTTCAGATGAGAACAGAACTATTGTTCCTGACGATTGCCAGGAGGATGCTGTTGATGTTAAGCAACCGAGACCCTGCCTGGACACAAAACTAGAGACTGTGGTGTGCACAGGTTCAGCTTCACCAGAAAAACGTGTGGTGACGGAATCTGGTTTGGAGCCAACGGCAAACGTGTGGAGGAACGAAGACTCGCTGGAATCGGGCAACCAGGCGGTCAGTGTAATGAGGTCACCCGGTATTGCTGTGGAAAAGAAGCCGCCGGATAAGCTCTTCTGCGATGCGTTTCCTTGCAGCGCTGCCGAAGCTCAGACAAAGGTGACTTTCCTCATCGGAGATTCCATGTCACCCGATTCAGACATCGAACTCAGAAGTCAGGCAGTAGTGGAACAAATTGCTAGGCATCACAGCCCGCCAGCAACGGAGGAAGGAGTGTCTGCTGATCAGAACTGTGAAGCTAAACAAACTGTTGAGGACCAAAATAGAGACTGTGGGACAGCTGAACCCTTTCCTCAAGTTGCTAGTGAGCATCAGAGCTGGAATCCAAATCCATACAACGCTGAAAGCATGAGTCTGTTTGATGAATATTTTACTGATGACAGTTCAATTGAAACCCGGACTATTGATGATATTCCAGGGCAAGCAGCTACGGATCTTCTTGCTCACAACAGTAGTTTAGAGTTTTCTAAAAAGCTGTGTACAAAGACTAGCAAACCACCTAGCGAATTTTGTAAATTCATGGACTCTGTTCTACAAGAGACCTACAAAAACTGCTTTAATGAGCAGGACCAAAGAGAGAGCATCTCTATTCGCGTCCCCCATGGGGACAAAGAAAATGTAGAGAAAAAAGTCGCCCCGGGAATTGATTGGGACATTCCAAGAAATGAGAGTTCAGATAGTGCCCTGGGTGACAGCGAAAGTGAGGATACAGGTCATGATCTAACTAGACCAAGCGGTAACTATTATGGAGGAGAGCAAGAAGATTGGGCAGAAGAATACGAGATTCCTTTCCCTGGGTAAGTACTATTCAGCAGCAATAGAGCCTAAAAAAGATAGAGCCTCTTCTCAATGTCACGCGTTTGGAGGAATGTAGCCTAACTTGGCATCGGTGGTTGGAAAAGTGTCTCTTGAGCTTGCTGGTTGTAAAAGAATATAGAGAGATCAGTGGTCTGGAAAAAAAATATCAGTTGTGCCTTGCGATCTTGGCTCGTATCCTCTTCTTCCACAGTGGTCCGACTGCAAAAGTTGACTTTAAACTCTTTCTTTTTAAAAAGTGCTTGAATGAAAGTTAGGAGAGATATGACAAATGTGAGAATGCAGCCTCTTTAAACTGAATTTGGTGTTTACTATTGTACATCTCTTTGATATGCCTTTCTTGCAGGTCAAAATTGGTTGAAGTGAACTCTGTCCAGCCCAGTATTGCCAATTTTGGAAGATCCTTGCTAGGGGGCTACTGTTCATCTTACGTCCCTGACTTTGTTTTGCAAGGAATAGGAAGTGATGAAAAGCTGAGGCACTGTTTGGTGTCAGATTTGTCTCATGCTGTGCAGGTAATTAAGCTATATTTGGTACATGTATTTGTCACAGTAGGGAAGGGCAAATGTTTTTGAATGTACAAACCTGCTGGAAGTGGAAATATTTACTGTTGCAGCTCTCTTCAGGTTTCTTCAGTCCCAGGTCACCAATTTTTTTCTCCTCTCTCAATTAATGTATCTGAAAAACATGGTTATTTCACTGTAAATCTGGAGCACAAAAACTTAAGACTCCCCCTGAAGCCAGCTGAGAGGCCCTTGAGAAGATGGATCTCTGTGCTAAGCCGTAGAGAAATCATCCTCTCCTGCAGACGTGGCAGCCTGCTGATAGTTGCATGCCCACAGGATGGAGTGATGTTAAACAAGACCAAACGCTGAGGTCGCTGTGTATCTCTTCCCAGGCACGGAGTCTTACTGCAGTGCTTGTGCAGAAGCTCCCTTTGCTCCCTCCTCTTCCCGTGCACCATCTAACCAACGTGCTGCCGCTTGTGGGGCAGAACGTGTCCTCTGCGGTGAAGCCGTCAGGAATGCTCAGAATTTTGGGGACGTTACTCCTTTTTTAGGATTGTAGTCAAAGCATCCGGTAGTGCTGGCTTCATCGGAAAAGGAGAAAGCAATATACAGATAATTGTCCCAAGGGGACTCACACTTCTCACGTGTGCTGGAAATCATCTCTTCTCCACAGAAGCTTTTTCCTAGATGAACTGAGGCATGTCCTACCCCTTTTTATAGTCACCAGGAGGGAATTGGAAGGCAGACTGTCAATGAAAAGCGTGATTCTGCTCCCCTCTAGTTTATTCCCAAGGGAATGGGGAAATGGACGCGCACAGACTGCTAGCAGGCAGTCTGCTTCTCTGAGCGCTCCCCTGGGAGCCTCCGAAATGCCCCCTTCGTCCACACCTCTCGAGTTAACAATGTGCGTCGCACCTTACACAGATGGCACGGCTACTTTTCCTGCGGCCGTTCCCCGCATTATTGTCCCCTTTCCTTGTGCCCTACCCTGCCGGGGGGAGTTCCGCGCCCTGCACGGCTGTTCTCGGCGCTGGTTTAAGCCACTGTGTTTTAAGCCAAATGTTTAAGCCATTTCTGAAGTGTAATTGAACTTCAGGCAGCAGAGGCAGCAGTGTGAGGTAGCTGCTGCTGTGAAGCAGATGTATCTGCAATATAACCTAATAGAGGTCCACGTCCATCAGCAGACTTAAACTTCAGTTGCAGAAATCAAAGATTGAGAGGATACGAAAGGAGTGAGCAAGATGTTATATGGATATCTTCAAGTAAAATACTAACTGCATCCTAGCCCCGTGTGAAGTCCCTGTGGGACTCTGGAAAGAGGTGCTTCCTGACAGTCCGGTCCAGAAAATGTCTTGGAGAAGGGTTCCAAATACTCCCTGGTTGAAACCTCCACGGCTTTAGACAGGGGGTGGAACGCTGCTTGGAAGGAATGGAGGAGCTGGGCTCAGGCTTGGTTCCTGACTCCCTCTGCTGGCCCTCCCAGAAAGGGAAACCAGTGACAACTGGGAATAAAATTGACCTGATTAACACGCGGTCATGGTGAACAGCAAGTTGGGGGTTTGGTACTTTCAGTTTTAGGAGTTTAAAATATATTTTAGATATGTCAGAACTCTTTATATCAAATATCAGAAGATATAGTTGTCAACCGGGGACACATTTTCAAGTCTAGAAGAAAATGAAAGAAAAGAAGCAACTATCCTTCTAAGACTGTCTCTTGCTTACAATAAAGCTCTGTTTTTAATAGATGGAATGCAATTCTTAGCACATGTTACTCTATTTTAGACGAAGCAGTGTCTGGGACGCTACCCCTGCTATCCGGGATGACGAGGTTTTGTGAAAAGACCGTTGTCGTTTGTCATTCTCAGGGTTCGGCTATTCATTTTTTCTTTCTAGCATCCCGTTTTGGACGAACCGATCGCAGAAGCTGTCTGCATTATTGCAGACACGGACAAATGGACGGTGCAAGTGGCCAGTAGCCAGAGACGAATGATTGATAATAAGCTCGGAAAGGAAGTGTTAGTCTCAAGTCTTGTCTCCAACCTGCTTCATTCCACTCTTCAGCTTTACAAGCATAATTTATCTCCAAACTTTGTAAGTATGACTGATAATGGAGAGGGTGATGGTTTTTAGAGCATCCTTTCACTTTGTAGGTTAAAGAGGGTGAAAAATTCTGCCTAGTTGGTTTATCTGTAGCCAGGGCATCCCCTCATGTAGCTTTTTGAGCTGTCCATTTAAACACTGCTCTCTAATAAAGACAGCTGTCATACTAATTCCGATTTAACATGCAACCAAAGGCTTCTGCTCAAAAGTGAGAGTCTTGCCAGTGAAGAAAAATTTGCCAGTATCTTACTAATTATGCACCTAGGCACGGCCGCGGAAAAGGCAGTAGATGTGTGGGGTCTGTGCTGTTATGCTTTGAGGCTGAGCGCGGTTTTGATACAGCACCGTCTTCTCCCTGACACAACTCCCTTTGCTTTCTAGTGTGTTATGCACCTGGAAGATCGGCTGCAGGAGCTCTATTTCAAAAGCAAGATGCTGTCCGAGTATCTGAAGGGCCAGATGAGAGTTCACGTCAAGGAGCTGGGCGTGGTGCTGGGGTACGGTCACAAACTTCCTCCGAGCAGCGCTGCCCTGGGTTTGCTCTGCCAAATCCTCTGCCCGCGCTTGTTCTAAGCGCAGCGAGATGGATTCCTGAATGGGACTGGAACCGTGGTGTGGCATAAATCACCCATGGCCGCAGGCTTCTCCTTAGCCATTGCTTGATCCCCAGGACGCCCAAACCTCTCTCTCTTCCCTCCGGGCAGGAAGACGGGCTCAGCACTCCGGAGCTTATCAGGCTCCTTCCTTAGTTGGTCACTCATCACTGAACAATGTGGGGCACCTGATTCCTACCTCTCTGTGGGTGTGGGGCGCAGGCAGAGAAGCTCTATAAAGGGTATTTATAAATAAATAAAGGAAGGCTGTGAATATCGTTGTGTTCAGAGGAGTACAGGGAGAGCGGGAAGGCACACGGAGCACGTGTGGAGCCTGGGGATGGGGGAGCAGCTGCAGCACGGTGCCGGGGATTCCCTGGGAGCTGCCGGAGTCCTTTAGCCTAGTCCTGTGCTCCTGCACTTTGTCCCCCACTACTGCTCCCTTTACTTTGAGGGTAGGAAGGAATCTGCTGGTTTTCCTCCCTCCCATCTGCTTTCTCACCAGTTTGTCGGCCTTGTGAAAAAACCCCGAACAGGCAGGTGGGCGCTGGGGCAGCGCTGACAGCGCAGAGCTGTCGCTCATCAGCGCGAGCAGACGCGTCTGGAGGGGATGTTAGAAACAATCTGGTGGCTGCAGCGTGTAACCCAGCCGGCAGCGCTGCGTTAGGAGAGAAGCGCAGTTGGCTTCGCTTTGACTTGAAGAATGTCCCACCGCTCAGAGCCGTGTACGCTCGCAGCCCCGGCACAAACACTGGGGCTCGAGCAGGCAATGTGGTCACTAACGCACGTGTTCGGCCCGGCTGCGTTTCGGGTTAGATTAAATGTGACTCTTCTGCTTCCTTTTAGGATCGAATCCAGCGACCTCCCTTTACTGGCAGCTGTAGCAAGCACTCACTCTCCCTATGTTGCCCAGATACTACTTTAAAATGCCAGAGGCCGTAGGCGCTGACTTTTTTCCCCCTCTGGAAACAACGTGGAAGACAACTTGTTCTGGCTTCTTTCTCTTTGAAGCAATTAAAACAAACTGCTCGTTGAGCTGCAGCACCTCCATATATGAACTGCACGTTATGCAAACAGTTGGAGACTTTTCCTCTCCCACTTGGTCATTTATAAAAAAGGATAAAGAAAAAGAAAAATGAGTGAGCCCGAGATTTCAACCACAGAAAAGCAAAGATTTTAGCAAAAGCTGAAGATCTGCATTTTTTATCAGTTTGTGCCACAGTGGCTAACTGTAATTTATATTGGGAAATGCACGGAAGAACTGCTTTGAGAAATAGATGATGCTATCGCCAGTTATAAACTTAACAAGAGAGTGCAGCAGCTGTCTTCAGACTGGCTTCTACTGATTAGGATCTCGTTAAGATCTGTAATTCTCAAGCTGCGATGACTTGTAAACAACTTCTACTTTTTCACGTCACAGTCAAATTCTGGATACTTCCCAGAGGAAGAACAGGGGTTGGGGGGGGTTGGTTTGTTTTGTAAAAAGCTTATTAATGACACTTAGCTCCCAAGTTTATTTATGATCTTTTTGCTGGGGAGGGGGAACAGCGGGGGGTGTCGGGGGGGACAGGGAGGAGGGAGGAAGAGGCCAACAGACAAACGAGCGATGGAGATTCTCTCTTGGCCGGATGTTGTAACCAGTATTAAATGTTTATAATGTTTAAATGTTGCTTTATACTAAGTGATGCTTTTCTTCCACAATGTAATCACAATGTTAAGGGGAAAAAAAATAATCTCAAGAGAACGTTGGCTGAAATTTCCCCGTGGGGTCCCCAGAATGACATGACTATTACCTCTGACTTTTGTATGGTCTATAATGTTCTTGCAACGTCCTATTCTTTTTACAGCAGTCAGTCAGCTATTGAAATAATGAAGTAGAAATAATTGTACCAAAGCATTGGGGGGAAAATGAATAGACTATTACCCTTAATTGCTCAGGTAACTAATTGATATATTTTTTAAAACCATTCTACAAGAAAATGACCATTGATTACACCATAGTATAGTAATATCAAAATTATTTTTTGACAAATATACCCTTGATGCAGATGACTCTCGTCCCTTTTCTACTCACTTGTGTAATTACCAGCAGGAAATGTTGTTTATTTTATTCTCAGCATTTCTCCTTTACTCAGCCATCACTGGTTTGTCATTGTATATACAATAGTTGTAGGAATAGCTGATGGACCCAATCTGGTGTAAGCAATGTAAATACGCAGTGGTAGGTGGATTATGTTTTCAAAGGCTCTACTACCTCAGTTTAACTGGACACTTCATTAGAGGCTTTTCGTTGCGGATTTGTCCTAGCAGCCAATTCATGTTGCTGATTTTTAGGTTCTGTTTTCATCAATTACGTTTAGTATATTGAAATTCATGGATTATCCACAGAAGTAGGAGATACGTGTTAACTCGGTCGCTGAACTCTATAAACAGTTCTATAAATACGTCGTTCTGTAATCATCTTTTCAATAGTACAGCACGCCTGCTATTGTTGTTTGCCGAGTTATTTTAAATACAAATCTATTTTAACCATTTGATAAACTTGAAAACAATAGGAGAGATCCCTGCCCCACCGCTGTCAGCGACACAACTCTCCTCCCTTCCTTCGCTGGGGCCAGGATTTCACCCAGAGTGTTTTTTCAGTAATATTTCAAATCTGTAAGACTCTGTTCCAGGGAAGATCTACATGGCAAACCCACACCCCTTTCCACGCAGGACTGAGTCTACTTTAGTAAGTAAACCAGACATTAACGTAGGCAGTGTTGAACTCTTTTGTATATAAAATCTAACGCTGACGGCTGCAGGGAAGAAACTTGTGTTTAATATGTGATCTAAGGATATGTTTCTCCCCTATTCTTCAAATGTCCTTCCTTCACCACAAAATTACGTTACATCTGGCTTTTGGAACGAGCACAAAACGTAGGGGCCCAGTTGTGTAAACACATTTTTAATGAAATATAGGATTGAGCTCAGAATACGAATTTTTAACTCTTTGCTATGATACGTTATATAGCCAATGGTTACGATTCTGACCGGTGTACGTAGGTTTGCAGTTGTAACCTGACGCTGGTGGCGCAGGCAGAGGAGGCCCGGGATGAGGTCCTGCCCTGCCCTCGGCGAGGCTTCTCACACGGCGGCATCCGTAGCACGTGCCCAGAGAGCCGGGCAGCGCCGCGCCGTAATCCTGGCACCTCCACGGTTGTGCTTATAATGCGTATTCACAGGAAAACAGTATGTTCTTCTCCATGTAACCATTATTGGGCGAATTGTGGGTATTGCTTTGGAAAGGATTTGACTCTCAAGAACGGCCCTTGCACAGCTTGAAATGAGTGTTGAGAAGGAGAAAAAGGTGGTGGTGTGGTGGCATCCTTCTCTGCTGTCTTCTGCCTGACCCGACCCCTTAACGCCGTTGTAATGAGGTGTTCAGTCAGTCCCAGATGAAGCGGCTGCAGTTGCGGCTTCCCGTCATCTGCCCACCGGTGCCGGTCCCTGCAGAGCCCCCGGGGCCCAGCGGTGGCTCCCGGCACGGTGTCACCCTCTCCAGCAGTGTTGTGGTCAAAACGCAACCAAAACCCTCCTGTGATGGGAAGTTATTCTGTAAGTTAACTTTTAGGGTACATGAACAATGTGGTACGTATGTCTATTTGTTAAATAATGCAAAAAGGGATCTTTTACAGGACTATAGCATCGACTTTTAAAAAGTGTATCGCGATTGTTTTATGTGTATGGAAAACTAATGTTTGATTTCTTTTCTCCACTATTACCAGTCTCCATTAACATGTCTTAATTTTCCGGCTGAAAACTAAGTGTACTAGGCACACAGATTGGCAGATCTGTTTCTGTTGCAATTGGCAAACACTGGGCTGCTAAGAACAAAAAATATTTAAAAGAGAGGATTTTACACCTTGCGTATGTTTTCCCTATTAGTTGTTATAGATGTTTTATGACAATTTTTTTTTTGCTTTCTCTAAATTATTTAGATGGTGGTACTTGTAAAATGCTGGGTAAAATGTACATACTTGTTATCTCTTCTGGTTTTGTATATATTTCCCAAGATGTGCACTTGTATTATAATAACCATTCCCAATTTTAGGGGAAATTTGTGCAATAAATACAGTATGTCAATTTACTTCTGGTACGTTTTTGTGTCCATTTCTTATACTTGTAGTACAAGAGTGTTGCTGAGCGTATAAACTATCACCATCTCAAGGCTGATGTCTGTCCGTCTCCTGTCACCCCTCCCTTTTGGGACACGCTTCCCAGTCGTCAGAGGAGCTGCAGCCATTTCATTGAGCTCTCTTAAGGAATTGGTAATTTCAAAAGGGAATTTGTGTTTGAACTTGCTGTCCCATTGCTTGTGAATGTCGTTGGCCCAAAAAAAAGCAATGGTAAGATGGGAGGGTGCTCCAGCCCGTCTGTACTGGTGCCGGGGCACCAGTGCCGGTGCCGGGCAGGAGACTCGGTGCCGCTGTGGGCAGTGCAGCGAGACGGCTCCGACCGACCGGAGCTTTCTAGGATTTCCGCTTGCACCTGCCAAGTCCCCTCCTGTAAAAAGATACCTGGTACCCGGGTATTTTTTTTTTCCATCTCTAGGAGGAATGAAAGCCGTAGCGGCAGACTTGTGGGTGTTTAAACTGGTGCAGTGACACCACCGTGAGCCGCTCCTACAGCCGGGAATGGATGGATTGCTCAGACTGCGCCTTCTCAGTTCCCGTCCCGAGTAGCCTGATGTCAAACAGCTCAATGCTCCGTGTCGGGGCAATGATGTAAAAACAATCGATAGAGAATCGATTGCCTTTTAATAATTATAACATAGGGGTTTATTGCTTGGCCTGGTGTTCCTGCGCCAGGATGGGTTCAAAAGGCAGCCTTGGAGGGGTGGAGCGGGCAGCACCGAGTCCCGGCGCCGGCAGAACCCGCAGCAGGAGATGCGCAGCCTCAGCGGGTGCTGCGGACGGGGCAGAGAGACACTGGTGCCGCACCGCTGCTGCACACGGACTGTCAGAGCTCCCGCAGGGCTTTTCCACCTAAGGGAGGACAGAGCATTTTGTGTTACCAGAGCAGACGGTCATGAGGTGTCCTCCTGACAGGGGATGCGCGAGGTGAGCTGGTGATCATGTGGCTGCGTGGGTGGTTGGCAAGCGATTCTGGTAGCAGTAAATTCAGCAATATAATCACTGCAGCATCCAGAAAACTCTGATGTTAACGCCCAGAATGTATTTCCCAGACTGGGATACAGCACGTGCTCGCCAGGATTTTTAACGTACTCTTACTCCTTTTCTGTAATTCCCTTAATTTTCCTGAAACAGAGGGGAAAACTAATTGACTTTGGCCAAGGCAAAGGCAGGGAAGCCGGCCACAGGCATGCGAGTGCCACAGTGTCTTTCGTCCCCGGCTTGTGATGACCAGGGGGGCTGCAGAAGAGGAGGCGATTATTTTCTGCGCGGCTCAGTGCGGAGTAACCACAGGACGAGGTCCGGAGTGCCACGGTGGGAAGCAGCTCGCTGTTCTGCTGTTGGCTGCACAAAGGCACCAAGCTCCTAAACAGCTCACCGCCGAACCCCTGTCGCTTTCTTCTCCCTCTGCAAACATGAGTTAAACAGTTGTCATTAAAAAATATCGGCCTCGTAGTCGGAGTTAACAGTGAGCATGTGCCCTGGAGATACACACATCTTCCGAGTCTGTGTCTGCGCCGGAATAACACCACTGTTGATGTGCTGCAGTGTGCACATTCTGTTCCAGCCATCCCCTCATTCTTTTCACGGGCTACAGGAGCATTACAGCCTTCGCACACTGACCGTGCGACCTTCCTGGCTTGCTGCGTGCAGTACTGCTTTGGCTGTTGCTACAGGCAAACCTAAATACACCGCTTCTTGGATTTCTGAAAAGTACTGCCAGCGCTCGCTGGAGATGGTGCGTTACTGG